TCCAGCGAGTTCGCCGCAGCGGCTCGGGCGCAGTCGGCAGCTGGCCGGGCCCTTTTTCCCCGCTCTTCCTTTTTCGCCCCCCCCCCCGCCCCCTCCCTCCCCCTCCCTCTCCCCTGGCAGGCTGTGAGGCGTCCATCAAAGTGTGGTTATTTGAAATAACCCGGTCTGCCTGAGACTTTCGCCGCTCGCAGAGGATCACGCCGCGCAGGGGAGCTGAGCCGAGCCTCCTCCTCCTCCGCCCTCTTCCTTCTCCTTCTCCTCCCCCTCCGCCCTCCTCCTCCTCCTCCGCCCTCCTCCTCCTCCTCCTCCTCCTCCTCCTCCTCCTCCTCCTCCTCCTCCCCCTCCCCCTCCTCCAACTCTGGGCCGTCCTGCGCCAAGAGCTCGTGCGTCTCCGCCAACGACGCCACCAGGGGCTGCTGCCGCTCCGGCGACTGCGGCTCTTCCGGCGGCGGTCCCTTCGGGCGGTGGACAGCTCCTCCTGCTGCTGCCACCCCTGCTGCTGCTGTTGTTCCCGTTCGTTTTCCTCCTCGTCATCTTCTTCCTCCCCTCCTCATCCTCCTCCTCCTAGCAGTATCATTAACATTAGTACGTTTGATATAACTATTAATATTATTGTTGTTACTATTACTACTGGTAGTATTTGTATTGTTTGTAATAGTATTATTAATCGTAGTACTATTACTCATATTATTATCAATACGATTAGTATTATCATTATAAATAGTGTTAGTTTTACTATTGATACTATTAATATTATTATAGGCATTCGTATCATTATTATTATGTGTATATGCATAATATTAGTATTACTCGTATTATCATTGATAGTAATATCGTTATTGGTATTGTTATTCTGATTCTTAGATTGAGTAGTACGACTACTATTCTTCGTAGGAATAGTATGGTTCGTCTTATTGCTTAATAGTCTCATGATGATTCCTCTTCGTATTCATAATAGTAGGATCATTCTTAGTGTTAGTATAAGTATTCGTCTTAGTTATCTTTTTCGTCTTCGTACAGTTAGTACGACCACTATTAGTATCATTATTACTGTTCCTCGTCCTCCCCGTCCTCGTCCTCCCCCTCATCCTCCCCCTGCTCGACTGCCCTTCCACTTCCTTCTCATTCCTCCTTTCTCTGTCCTGTCTACACCCCCTACTTCTCCGAAGAGGAGGCGGAGGAGGAGGAGGAGGAGGAGGGGGAGATGGAGGAAGAGGAGAAACGAGGAGGGGCAGTGGCACAAGGAGGGCTCCGAGGTGGATTCCTTCTGTAACGGTTTTCAATCGGATTCCTTTTGCAACGGCGTTCAAAAGGCTTCCTTTGGTAACCGTTTTCAATCGGATTCCTTTTGTAGCGGTTTTCAATAAAATTCCTTTTGACGCTTTTGCGAGGGCCCCCAAGGCCTTTCCAGGGAAAACAAAGAAAACAATGAAAACAAGGGAAAACAAAGAAAAACAATGAAAACACAGCGAAAAACAATGGAAATTGAATTGCGCCTTGATCTTCGCGGCGTTAACCAGGAAAACAATGATAACAATGACAACACAGCGAAAAACAATGAAAACATCAGGTTCCGTTGTGTTTCGCTGTGTTTTCCGTGTTTGTCATTGATTTACTTGTTTTCCTGGAGAGGGGTCTGAAAAATCCTCTGGGGTTAGCTCTCGGCATTTCCACGAGGACTCCTTTCTGCAGCGGCTTTCAATCGGATTTCTTCTGTTGCGGCTTTCAATCGGATTCCTTTTGTAACGGTTTTCAATCGGATTCCTTTTGTAACGGTTTTCAATCGGATTCCTTTTGTAACGGCGTTCAAAAGGCTTCCTTTGGTAACCGTTTTCAATCGGATTCCTTTTGTAGCGGCTTTCAATAAAATTCCGTTTGACGCTTTTGCGAGGGCGCCCAAGGCCTTTCCAGGGAAAACAAAGAAAACAAGGAAAACAAGGGAAAACAATGAAAACACAGCGAAAAACAAGAGAAATTGAGTTGTCCATTGTTTTTCGCTGTGGTTTCCTTGTTTGCCCTTGTTTTCCATGTTTTCCTGGAAAGGGGTCTGAAAAATCCTCTTTTTCAGGCTCTAGGCATTTCCAATAGGATTCCACATGTAGCGGCGTTCAATAGAATTCAATTAGCAATTAGTAACAGCTTTCAATCGGATTCCTTTTGTAACGGTTTTCAATCGGATTCTTGGTGTAACGGCTTCCAATACGATTCCATTTGTAAATGCGTTCAGTAAGCTTCTTTCGCTAACGGCGTTCAATCGGACTCCTTTTGAACAGGTTTCTATTGAGTTCGACTTTCTCAATCTCGCTACCGTGCAAAGAAACAACGTTTTCGGAGATCTTGGAGGAAGACGTCGCCATAATCATACAAAAAACTACAAAAACCCAAACGAGCTCTAACGTATGAACAGATCTAAAGAAAACGATCCCCAAATAGTCCCAGATGTCCCCCATACCCCCCCCCCCTGCGCGCGGCCGAGAGACCCTTGCGTTGTGATTCTGTCGCGGCGCGAGGATGAGGGGCAGCGATAGAGGGGGCCTGGCATGGGGGGGAAACATCGACGTGGAATCGGCGATACATCGCCGATAGATCGGCGATAGGCCCCCGATAGTGGATCCGCACCTTCCTGTGCAGGTTGGGGCTATCGGGCCCCTATCGGCGATCAATGGGCGATTGGGGGTCGATGCATTCCCCCCCCTGTGCCCATCCCCCCCCTGTCGTTGCCCCCGAGAGGAAGACTGGGGGGGGGGGGCTTGGGCGGGGGGGGGGCCAGGAGCCGAGCGCGCGCGGCCGCCGGGGGGGCGGGGGGAAGGAGTGGAGGCAGCGAGAAAAGCTCTGCCGCCGGTTCGGGCCAGAAGGGCGCCGCCGCGGGAGGGGGGGAGCGAGGAGCGAGGAGGAGCGAGGAGGAGGGAGCAGCAGAATCACCCCTCCCAAATCCAGGCGCGTCCAGGGAGCTCGGCAGGGCGGCCCCGTACGTGCTTCGATGCTGCGCTGGGCGGCGAAGGCGCGGGCAGCCAGGTCACCCGGAGACTTAAGTCGGGCAAGTCCCTGTGCAGGAGGAATATGCTAAAATAGTCGAAGCAGAGTCTGGGGACGATTGTTCGATTATTTTTGGCTTCTTTTGATTATGTTCTGACTGTTTCTTAACTTTCGCCCAAAAGCCGCCTGTAGGAAGACATGCCGGACCTAACGGTAGACTCATCCCCCTCCTGTCTGCAGAAAGCCCAAGGATGAGGACGTCCAGGGTGCATCCTGCAATCGCGCGCGTCGGGCCCCTTCCCCTCACACATGCACGTTTCCGCCCTCGTTCTGGCTTCCTCGTCGTCATCATCACCGTCATCACCCTCGTCCTCACCACATCCTGATCCTGATCCTGTCCTGACCCCGATCCTGTCCTGATCCCATGTCCCCAGCCGCGACGAGAACGTCTCCGACCACGCCGAGGCCGAGGGCGTCCCAGACGCCCGCCCTCCGCTTGCCGCATCCGCCCCGCCAACCCGAGAGAGCTTGGCCAGCTTCCCGACGACTCTTCCACGATCGCCGAGCCAGCCCTGCGCCATGAAAGCCCGCACGCACGGATATGGCGAGCACACAGCAGATCGGCCAGCCTCTCCCGGAAGCTGCAGAGGAAGACGCCGGGCTAGGCGAGCGACGGGGGGGAGTCCGAAAGATCGGCGCCACCTGCAGAAGCTCCGCACGGCGCATTTGCCTTGGTCAGGAAGTCATGGCTACTGCAAGGGAGACCGGCATCGCTTGTCACAGCGGGAGCGCCAAGAGAGCAGCGACACGATGGACCAGAATCGTTGCACCCGCAGGCGTTCCGGGACCACCCGCGCGACCTGGCCAAATGCCTTCACAAAAGTCTCTTGAGCAACTGGCTACGGGGGAGGGGGGAGAAGGGTCGTGGTGTCCGTCGGGGCCGTGCACGGCAGCCCCTCGGGCAACGACCGGAGACAAGCGCATCCCCCGATCGACAGGCGCTGCAGGGACGTCAGGTCCCCCAGCCGGTCGGGCAGCGACAGAAGGCGGCCGCAGTCCCAGACGGTCAGCTGCTGCAGCGACGTCAGGTCCCCCAGCCGCTCGGGCAGCCCCTGGAGCTGGCCGCACATCCAGATGGTCAGCTCCAGCAGCGACGTCAGGTCCCCGATCCGCTGCGGGAGCGCCTGAAGCTGGCCGCACTCCCAGATCCGCCGCCGTGCCCCCCTGGCACGCTGAGGCGTGGCACGGTGCCAAGGGCTGTCCTCTAAGGGCCTCCCCCCGACGCACCACGCCCACTTACAGGAGCCCCCCCACCATCCTGAGGCTCACTGGGCGGCCCAACGCCTCCCTGGGGCTCTCCAGGGCTCCGAAAGGCTTCCTAGACGGCGCAGGACGGTCCTCGGGGCCGCCGAGGTGGCCGAGCACCACCTCGAGGCGCCAAAGAGGCCCCAAGAAGCCCCAAGACACCAAAGAGAAGGCCAAGAGGCAAAGGCCTAAATCACATGTTAAAAAAAAATTGAGGACGCCTTGCAGTTGTTAAGACTATCTTGCGCTTCCTGCGCTATCGGCTCAAGATGGTTCCGAGAGGGCCTCAGAGAGACCAAAGGCATACCAAAAGAGCCGAATGAGGGCCCCAAGGAGCGCCCCGTACGACCCAGAAGAATCCCACGACGGCCCTAAGACGGCCCATGATGGGGCCCAGAACAGCCCCAGAGAGCCCCAGGGTGGCCCAAAGGGCCCCAAAAGGGCCCCAAGACAGCCCCAACAGACTCCCCAGACGGCGGAAAGGGACCCAAGAGAACCAAGACGGCCCAAGAGAGCCCCAAGACGGTCCGTAAGTAAGGTCCCAAAGCGGACCCACAGGAGCCCAGGACAGCCCCAAGACGGTCCAGCTACCCCCATGAGAGCCCCTCAAGGAATGCAGAGGAGATGTGCCATATGTTAATTACCGCCTTCTGGAGTTGCTTGAAGAGTCGTCACGCAGAGTGCTGCGCTGGCACGGTGGCGGAACTTGCCGCAAGCAGCTAGATATTCAGTTGCTGCAGCGAAGTCAAGTCCCCCAGCCGGTCAGGCAGCGATTCGAGGCGGCCGCACCCCCCGATCGTCAGCCGCCGCAGCATCGCCAGGTCCCCCAGCCGCTCCGGAAGCGACTGAAGCCGGCCGCAGTTCCTGATCGTCAGGTGCTGCAGCGTTGTCAGGTCCCCCAGCCGCTCGGGCAAAGTCCTCAGGCTGTCGTAGGTCTCGATCGTCAGCGCTCGCTGCTGCATCGACGCCAGGTCCCAGGGCGCCACTGGCCTGGGCTCCTCGCCTGGGCAACAAGGTGCGAATGCTAGCCTCGCGGATGTGCTGGAACGCCGGCACGCTAGCATGTCTTTGATTTCACAACCTATCGTGAGTCCCTCCGCCACTTGCAATTTCATGAGTAGCAAGCGCACTCGATCGGGAAGCGAATGAAGGCGACTGCAAGACTCGATCGTCAGCTGCTGCAGCGACGTCAACACACCAAGCCTCTCGGGCATCGACTCAAGCCGGCCACATTGCCTGATTGTGAGTTGCTGGAGCGAAGTCAGGTCACCCAGCCGCTCAGGTAGCGCCTGTAAGCTATGGCACGACAGAATGAACAGCTGCTGGAGGGACTTCAGGTCCCCCAGCCGCTCGGGCAGCAGCGCGAGGCAATCGCACGACTCGATCAGCAGGCGTCGCAGCGACGTCAGATCCCCCAGCCGCTGGGGCAGCGACCGAACCTTGCAGCACTCCCATATCGTCAGCTCCTGCAGCGACGGCAGGTCCCCCAGCCTATCGGGAAGCATCTCGAGACAGCTACACTGCCTGATCGTCAGCTGACGCAGCGACCTCAAATCACCCAACTGATCGGGCAAAGTCTGAAGCTGGCCACATTGTCTGATCGTAAACTGCTGCAGGGACGACAGGTCACCCAGCCGCTCAGGCAGCGACCTTAGGCTGCCACATGACAGAACTCGTCGATCCCCTGGGACCATCGGCGTGAGATACCTCTCCTTATCCTCGATACCTTCCCTCGTGTGTCAAGTGTTTTTCAGAATGGCTCGCACATTGAATGTTCGATCCCCCCTGACTGGAACAACAATCGGCGCTCGCGGAACCAAGGATGTCCCAGTTGCGCATGCCAATTGTGCATGGGGCGTTGAGCATGCAGAATTAGAAGGTTGTAAACTCCGAGCGATGCAGTAGCACATGGGGTTGCGCATGGAGAGTGCGACTGTTGAGAAGTAGGATGTCTGAACGGCGCTCTGAGAAGTTAATAGACATGTAGGGAGGTATACAATAATACTGTGCCAGAAGCACATCCTTCAAGAACATGAGACCCTCCACCAGCCAAAACACACAGAACGTCCAAGGGTTCCCTCCCCCAGGATGCACTAGAACTTCCCAAGAACCCGCAGAACATTAGGATACCCTCCCCGAGCCGATCTCGATCTTATACCTCGGTCCGACTGTAGTAGAACTGTAGAAAAATAGAGAAAAACGGTAGCAAAGTAGCAGCGCACGGGTCTACTGCATGGGCGTGGACATGTAGAGTGACAGAGAGGTAGAATCAGAGCGCCGTATTATAGCATCACACAGCGATATCTATTCTGCCTGCGCAATAGGGTGGTGGTATCCCACGGCGTCCGAGAATGGTGGACTACTGAGCGAAACCGCCACCGCGCCGTAGATACTGCGTGGAGTGTCCTCGGGTCCCTCCGACTTCTCCGCACTGAATACTTGGGAGGGTTCCGGAAACCCTGAACCCAAAAAAGTCATCATCTCTTGGGAGGCCCTGTTTTACTTCCGCCGGTTTCCGCCGACGGGCGGACAGCGCTTGCCTTCCCGCGAGACCGAGCAGTCGGCGGACATCGCTTTCCTTCCCCAAGACGCCCCAAGATGCCCCAAAACGGCTCCCAGGAGGCCTTCAGACGGCCCCCAAGAGGCCCCTGAGAGGCCCCCCGCGACATCCCGACGAACATCTTAAAGGCCTATGACCCACAACCCAGGCACGGTGGCGGGATGGGCAGAAGGCCATATCCGCCGCCACCTGTTGATTCATCACAGGGGTGCCTGGCGTGCTGAACCCTTTCGGTTTTGGTTTTGGTTCTTTTTCAAAAGAACTCCCCCTGGGGCTTCGGTCCGTCCCGCCGGCCACCCGAAAAGATTGCCCAGGACCTCAATCCCCCCAAAAATCCTCCAAGACGGCTCAAGATGGCCTCCAAGATGGCCACGTTGGCCCAAGATGGCCTCCAAGATGGTCCAAGATGGCCTCCAAGTCCGCCAAAGATGGTCCAGGATGGCTTCCAAGACGGCCCGAGAGAGTCCAAGATGCCTTCAAGTTCGTCCAAGAAGCCTCCAAGACGGCCCAAGATGGCTCCAGGATGACCTAAGACTGGCCAAGAGGCCCTCAAGAGGCCTCCAAGACGTCCTCCAGGAAGGCCCGAAAGGGCAAAAATCATTGATTTTCCTTCGGTGTTCGAAGGATGTTGGCATTTTCTTCTTATCAGCTCTCCGACG